TTGAAAACCAAACGAGTGAAGAGCTGACTGAAGAGGAACGCAAGGCGGCTTGGGAGGATTATGAAAATGAAAAGAAGGGATTTAGTAAGTACCATGAGAATAATGAAGTACATGAAAGGAAATGAGTAATTTGTACAGTAAAGTCTGCTGCAGGTACTTTTGAATTCTTTCACTAGATACTTATATAGGTGGAAAATTTTATAGAGACATCATGCTTCTCATATGGGCCTTAATATATAGTAGGTTAATTATTGGTATTACAGACCGAAATTAAATTATTTAGATGCTACAGCACATTGAAAATTCTAATAATTTATTACAGTGTATTATCAGCAACAACGGAACAGTGTTATGCCTGTGGTTGGTCCTGCCACCATGGTTGCATCATCAGCTGCTCCATCATTGTCACTTTCATCCTTCAGTTTCGAAGGGGTGGTTAATACAATCAAGGCACAGGTGAGTTCATTAATGTCAGGATATCTGTGGGTAATTGTTAATATTACAGATAGGAGATTTTTTTATAGATTTCTTTTATTGTTTGTTTACATTGGATGTGCATGCATACTCACAGGCAGAAAACCATAGTAAAGTCCAATTTGTCATTACATTTGTATGTACACTTAATTTTCTTGAATCAAAAAGCCTGATAGTTGCTATGTCATTCCTTGTGAAAACAAATGTGATGGAAAGGACAAATTGTCATTTTACAACATCCCATTATTATGAAAAACAGATTGAAGAGTGATGTTGCAAGGAATGGATACAGGCATTGTGCTGGGAAATTATAGAATTATATAATTTAACATAATAGAATGAATAATATTGAAGAGCTAATGATTATTTATGGTTTTAAAGGATTTATTGTGTGCACTGGGAAAATCTAGCAGATTTGAAAGGTGTATCATTATCAATCTGAACAAAAAAAAATCAAACATTTTGCTACAGGAATTATTGAAATGACACATTCATGTTCCAAAATGGCTTCAGACTTCTGCAACTGTTTCTTATGTCAAATTGTGTGGCTCTAGAGCTACAGATGGAATAAAAATCTGCCTTTTGATTTAACCCCTTAATGCGGGGTGACGCCGATCGGCGTGAAAACAAACCGCTCGAAAGCTGGTGTGCGGCTGTATGCCGCGGCGGTGCGCCAAAGCGCGCCGAGCCAATGATTCAGGCTGATGTCCCCTACTCACATGCTCAAAGTCGGTGTGCCACCTTTGTTTGCTAGAGCATAGATTTATTTATTTTTATTTTTATTTTCATTTTATTTTTTTATTTTTTATTTTTATTTTTTATTTTATTTTATTTATTTATTTATTTATTTATTTATTTATTTTTTTTTTTTTTATTTTTTTTTTTTTTTTTTTTTTTTTTTTTTTTTTTTTTTTTTTTTTTTTTTTTTTTTTTTTTTTTTTTTTTTTTGTACACCCAGCGCCATTGGGTTAATAAAGCAGCATGACATTGATGCAGGAATATCATGATAGAAGCAGTCTTGAATGTTCCCTTCTCTGAAAAAGTCATAACCTTCCAACAACTTGAAGGCTCTCCTTGCCACATTTGTGTAAAGCCTTGGTGTTTTGATCAGAAATTTACTAATTTCAAACCAAGATAGATTTGGTAATATCCTGATCTTGTGTGACCATCCATCTTCCATTGCATAAGGGTTGTCTAAAGTACTGTCTTTGAGGGTTAGAGTCTGTTTGTAACACTTGTGACATCATCTGCCAACAAAGTTTCTAAGTACAGAAACTGCGACTTGGCTAATCGGCAAGGAAATATGTAGAATTTTTTGTATTTTAGATTTCAGTATTAGAGGAAAACAACTGGAAAACAAGGTAAACAACATGGATGAAAGCATGTTTGCCTGTTGGCTTGCGTGCAATGTATTTTCCGACACCTGTGACATAGGTGTTATAGAGATGTAAAGATTAAATTTTCTCCTTTTTCAAAGTAGAGCTGTTTAGAATTTCTGGAGGAGAGGGCATGAATGAATAAATTAATTACATTATTATGAAAGTACCCAAAGGTTTTTCATTTTGTAGAATAATGATAGGAATGAGAAATTGACAAAATTTAGGTAAGGATTCAGGGGATAGAAAGGTTATTATAGGGAAAAGGATTTGCCAAATTGGTTGTAGAGAAGAGCTAATATTGCGTTTCCCATGGCTAGTTTAGGCTAAACTGTAAAACTTGATTAACTACCTTTTGTTGTTATTTCTGCAGAATCCTAACCTAACTCAAAATGAGTTGTGCGAGAGTGTTGTACTGGCTACAAAACAGATCCAAAAGATTCATCTTACACATTATCAGAGAGTCCAAGGAATGGTGTATAATGTAAGTTAGTGATATTTGAACAATTCTTAATGGTTATTGGTTATAAATATTTTGTTTGTGATTTTTTTTAAAGTTATATGTTTTGACACTTGGTAATAAATCAGATTAAATACACTAGTACTGAAGCTGAAGAAAACTTTCTCTGAACAGCTCAAGAATCCAATGA